TTAAAAATTAAGATTATAAAAGAAAAAATAGTATATAATTACTACCACTTTAAATATGAAAATAAAATCTTCCGGAAAATCCGGAAGAGTTGGCAGGTATGGTTATGTAAATTTTATTAAAAAAAAACTGTGTTATCATTTATTGCCATTATTTTAACTTATTTATTAAAGTTGTCGTAGAACATCAGATTTATCATGGTGTCGTTGTTAGATTTGGGAACCTGTTAAAAGGTAGCTCAACTACTAAATTGAGCTACCTGAACAATCTATTATAAAAGGTACAAAATTTTTTATCCAACGTCGTTTTTCATGCGAAATTTGAAAACTCCAGATAAAAAGTGAATTAGCCTTCTTCTCAGAGCCCCCTACTGCTAAGGAATGTTTGTATTCTCAAATTATATTTTCAGTGGTAGTAAACTAAAGCAGAACTGTTTTGAATATAACAGATAATTCTCCAAAATTGTTAGAAGTTAAGGAATTGTCCGTCTGTATGATTTTATATGTATCAGTTGTTTGTGTTTCGTGGCAGACAATTTTTTTAATTCGAGATTGTTAAAATATATATATTATCCTTGCTATGACATGGAAATTTTTTCTGAAACAACGGACTTACAGTGCGTTATAAAATGCTCCACCCTAAATAACTTTTTATTTAATGATCAGATTTTCACATTCCAAGACTCAATCTTAAAAGTTCGTGGGGGTGTCCACAAATATGCAAATTATAAGTAAAGAAAACTTTTTAAGTTATGAAATCAGACAAAACAAAACGTACTTTCTCTTAATAAACATAGCATTTTTTCAACGGAATAAAAAGTGAACCAGTGGTGAGAATGAAACCATATTCAACTTTAAAAGTAATTAAGAGAAATTTATCGTATACATTTGAGAATTGAATCTGTAGTGGTTGACAAGTAAATAAGACAAACCAATTATACACATAAATTAAACAAATTTATAGACATACATTTACCAGCACTTTTTTTATTTAAACTAGATTTTTTATTAAATGGCTCTTTCGTAAATTGGTTTACCTTTATAGTGGTCTGATCGAACTACCTGTAAGAAACCGTTTGGAGGCTTTCAGTTATAGGAGGCGTTGCATAAGCAGACACCACTCTAACATGATTTTTTTTTATTTCTTAATATTTAGTAAGCGCACTATTTCTGAACTTTCAAAATTATTTGAAAATACTGCATCATGTTTTTTAAGTGCTCTGATGCTTTCATTAACATTTCAAACAGCACTTAAAAGTACTTGGAGTGCAGAGGGTTAAAGGACGAAGCATTCGTCTATATGACCTTATATATAACTGTTTAAAACACCTACGTTTAGTGATAGAAAAATTCATTTAATATTTTTTTATTTTATTTTGTAATCGTCGTTGAACAGCTGACCCAATTTTGGGTTTACGACTACCAACGTTCAACGCCGTAGCCTGTAGTTTTGAACCATATCCAGAAGATAAGGAGCAATAGGATCAAGTATTGGGAGAATTTTTGCCCTCGTATAGGACTTTTTAATGGTACTGATCCTCATTTGCATTAAATTATGTGTTTTAGTCAGGCGATAAAGGGACTCTAACTCATGATCCGTCTACCACGAGTGGTATTTTACGTTAGCGCTGTGGTCGGTACGAGCTGGGGGCGAAATTCGTATTGACCAGCCATCACTGAGATTCGTAAACGGTTCACCTATTTGAAGGCCAACGCTCTATTACATTACCCTTGCAGCTACTAGAAAAAATATTTTCGGAAACTACGGATAATCCACAGTAGTTGGAGTCTCTGTAAGCTTTATGCCCCGATTATAGTTGATAGTAAGTACGGAATAAAAAATTTAAAAATAGCTGCCAAGTATTTGAATGAGGGGCTATCAAAAAAATATTTTTACAAACATCTTTTTCTTGTTTCCAAAACAGAGATTCCTAAATTTACTAAAATTGCATTGCTGAATATGCTGAAATATGCATAACATTAACGTATTATTATTACCAGGCTATGCAATGTGGGAGTTTTAAAACAAATTCTTATTTATCTTTTCTTAAATAAATTAAACAAAGTTATCAATAGATAAGAAAATAATTACATAAAGTGTGATTTGTTAAAATATGCAATAATATTTTAAAACAGTACTTCATAACTTATCCAAAAGAACGTAAAATAATTGCTCCTTAATTTATCGTACTCATCCCGTAGCTTTTAAGTGAGAAAAACAAAAGTTTTTTAAACAATTCTCCGGATAGAACGGTCAAAAAACAACTCATGTAAGCATTCTCAAAATTATATTTTGTCGAGAAAAAAAGTGCAAGTAAATGTTATTAACTGCCCAAATATATTTTTTCAGACATACATTTCTCGAATTTAATGGATGTGTCTAATAAGAAAGCAAACGCAATACAATAAAATACTCGAATCTCTTCCTTAAGCTAAAATTAAAAGTTGTCGATTTAGCATTTTTATTTTTAAGACTTCAAAATCGAAGAATTAATAGTGAAAATGACATTATTATGTAGTATAAAATATTAAAAAGTTATTATAAGTTGAATTATTGTCGGATATTATATATTGTTATGATGGACTGACTGGCATCTAAATTCTTTAATCAATTTCTCTTAAATTTATGTCATTATATAGGAACTAATGTTTCGAAAATTTACTGCTCCTGCGTAATATATAAGTCATTCAACATGATATAGACTTTCAAAAAGTTTTTTTTCTTAGTTCAGAAATGTTAATAAAACCATGCATAAGGAAAAAAAATTTTAAGATCTTTAGTCTGAAAAGTTCATGCGGATTTTCGATAGGTGGAGCTCTGAGAGTCACGCCAAAAATATTAACGCAGTTGCTAATTACTCATTAAAGCAATTTGAAATTGACCACTTCAGTTTAAGTAATATTCATCAATAATTTATCATACTTCTTTATTTGCTGTAAGTTTGATTATTTAATGATCCATTTTTAAAAACACGAAAAATATTTTATTGTGTAAATTTTGCTACCACTTCATTATTTTTGGCGGACCTTTGAGATCCCAACCTATCAAAAATCGACATGAACTTTCCGAAAACCCCATAATTTTTTTCCCTTTTTTTTAATTCTCCAGGCTAAGTTCAATCTAAAAAAATAATAATTGATATCAATATCTTATTAAAAAATAGATTTCCTTTCATAATTAAATATTCTGATTAAGAGCTGCCGTTCATGGATGTATTGTCTTGGCGATTCTAGAGACATTGTGGATTTCACATACAAAATTAAATGCAATTTTTCCTTTTTTTTAGTCTTGTTTCTTATTTAGCATATACACAAATTCCATGAACACTGATAAATATTTATTATTCTGGATTCTTCCAATTTCTTTGCAAAATTCTGTGAATTTTGCAAAACAAGTTATTAAAGCAGCGAGTGAAGTATAAAAAAAAACAATTCAAACGGTGTTTATATAAATATAAATTACCAATAAAGTAATGTTAATATTTCTGCAATTTCATACTGATTTGTGCGAAACCATATAATAAAATTATTATTAAAAATAATAAATGAAAAAAAATAATCTTATAATTTTAGTCAATAAAAAGAAATAAAAAAACCAATATAAAATTTTATATATTTATTATTTACCAACTTAAGCATATTCACTAATTCCATGAACACTGATAAATATTTATTAACTATCCGTTCAATATTCTGCGAATTTTGCAAAGCAAGTTATTAAAACAGCGAGAGAAGTATAAAAAAAATTTAGATGGTGTTTATATAAATATAAATTACCAATAAAGTAATGTTAATATTTCTGCAATTTCCTACTGATTTGTGTGTAACCATAAAAAAAAATTATTGTTAAAAATAATAAATAAAAAAAATATTCTTATAATTTTAGTAAATAAAAAAAATAAAAAACTAATATAAAATTTTATTATTTAAAAACTTAAGCATATTCACTATTTCCATTAACACTGATAAATATTTATTAACGCTCCGTTCAATATTCTGTGAATTTTGCGAAGCAAGTTATTAAAGCAACGAGTGAAGTACGAAAAAAAAATTAAATGGTGTTAATATAAATATAAATTACCTATAAAGTAATGCTAATATTTCTGAAATTTCATACTGATCTGTGCGTAACCATAAAGTAAAATTATTATTAAAAATAATAAATTAAAAAAAATATTCTTTTAATTTTAGCAAATAAAAAAAAGTAAAAAACCAATATAAAATTTCATATATTTATTCTTTACCAACTTAAGCATATTCACTAATTCCATGAACACTGATAAATATTTATTAACGCTCCGTTCGATATTCTGAGAATTTTGCAAAGCAAGTTATTAGAGCAGAAAGTGAAGTATGAAAAAAAAATTTAAATGGTGTGTACATAAATATAAATTACCAATAAAGCGATGTTAATATTTCTGCTATTTCCTACTGATTTGTGTGTAACCATAAAATAAAATTATTGTTAAAAATAATAAATAAAAAAAATATTCTTATAATTTTAGTAAATAAAAAAAATAAAAAAAATCAATATAAAATTTTATATATTTATTATTTACAAACTTAAGCATATTCACTAATTCCATGAACACTGATAAATATTTACTAACACTCCGTTCAATATTCTGTGAATTTTGCGAAGCAAGTTATTAAAGCAGAGAGTGAAGTATGAAAAAAAAAATTTAAATGGTGTTTATATAAATTACTAATAAAGTAACGTTAATATTTCTGCAATTTCATACTGACTTGTGTGTAACCATAAAATAAAATTATTATTAAAAATAATAAATAAAAAAAAATATTCTCATAATTTTAGTAAATAAAAGAAAATTAAAAACCAAAATAAAATTTTATTTATTTATTATTTACCAACTTAAAAATTTTGAAATTAATAGAAATAAAAAATGAAAATCGGGAATTTTATTTTTAAAAAAATCGTGTGGAGTTTTTTTAATTAAATAAATACATTTTTATTGTTTAACAATAATTATTTAAAAACTCACCCATAGTCAGTGTAGCTACCAAAACTAAAGACATGTGCAACATAGTGGGCGGTCTAAACGATGCGAGTTTCCCTCTTCAAAGCAAGGCGCGTGTTTTAGTGAAGCAGAAATTTTGCTTTGGTAGATTGTACGATTCCCTCTTCCCCTCTCCAATTCCCGAAAACTCCCTACTTTTCCCTTTATTCCGGACTTTGTAAAAGAGCTCCACCTCGTGGCTTGGGAGTAAACCACAAGATCGATGTTTCTTACCTGAGCAAAACGTGCTTTGTGAGTTACTCCGTAGAAATTTAGATAAAAGGAGCAAAAACTTTTTGTATTATTTGTGCGCGTGGAAAAAATAGGGAGGAAAGTTTAGTGATATAAAATTGCTCGGTGGTTGAGCTAGCGTTCTGAGAGGGGGGAAAATTTAGATTTATAAGCGCTGCGTGGCTTTTGTTTTGTTTCTACTCGCAGGGAATATCTGGAAAGTTTAGGGAAGTAGTTAAAGTTGCACAGAGGTTTTCCAGCGACACTTATTTGAAATGTTGAGAGTATAAGCCAATTAGTTCCTTTTCCTAAGTAACTCTCGTACGAGTTTACAGTTTTGAGAATATATTTTTCTTACAAAAAATAACATCTTTCAGTTTTTTTTCGTAGGATTATATGCAAAGCATTTTTAGAAAATGCGTAAAAGCAACGAAAGGCATTTCGGAAATATCTTAAATTAAGTAATCCTTGAGTGGCAATTAAAACATTTTGATTGTTTTTTCTATTTGAATTTCACACTTAAAGTGATTATTCTCTAAGACGAAAACCAGTTTCTACCGATTTTATTTTATTTTAAAACAGTCATTGAGCAGTTGACCCAATTTTTTGGGTTTACAACTGGCAATATCCTGCTCCGTAGCCTTGAATTTTTGAACCCAATCTAAAAGACAAGGGAACTCCTTGATTAAGTATTGGGAGAAAATTGGCTTTGTGGAGGACTTTTTGATGAAACTAACCCTCATTTGCGTTACAGAGGTTGGAAAGTCACAGAGGATATTTTACGTCAGCACTGTGGTTGGTGCAAGCTGGATGTGGAATTCGTATCGACCAGCCAACGCCGGGATTCGAACCCGGTCGATTTTTTATAAGTAGTCTGCGCAGACTGTTTAAAAAGTGAGCCAGCTATGCGCATAAACCATTCCTGCTAACTTTTACGCATTGGGCGAAAAATTTTATTTCTGTATTTAAAGTGATAGTAAAATGTATGCTTTCTATGCATTCCTTGCATTTATAATCTTTTTGATCAACCACTATTTCTAAAAAAAATAACCATATATATTAATATGCATTGCTGTTGGGATAGTCGGCATAATCTTGTTCAAATTACAGCTTATGTTTCAGCCTAAAATTGTAATTTAAATTCGCTTTACTACCACTGGGGAAAATGATCCTTGAAAGGATTAAATGTTGGCAGTTATGGCATAAACCCAAATTCTTTTTATTAAGTAATAGGGAGAAATTTATCTTATCTATTTGAGAATTGAATTTGTGGTGGTCAACAAATATTAAGACACACCAATCATATTAATAAATTAAACAAATTTTAAGAGAAATATTTGCTACAACTTTCTTAATTTTGCTAGATTTTCTCTTAAACGGCTCTTTTGTAAACTAGTTTATCTTCATAGTGGTTTGATCGGACTACATGTAAGAAAACATGTGGAGGCTCTCAGATATAGGTGTTGTCTGCGCAATCATGGCTCAGTAGGTGTTGCCTGCGCTATCACGGCTCACGAAATACTACCTGTTAAAATGCTTTAGTTTTATGGTTTATAATTCATATAAAAGTACATTTTGCGGCAATTGGATTTGTTTTAACATCACTTGCGCACCAGGCAATCTCAGAGATGCCAACTTGCTCCGCTTTGTAAAATAGTATTTTCCAGTGGTAGCGAAATTTAAGTCACTCTTAGTTTCCTTTTAAATAATTTTCTTACCACTAAGTATCAAAAATTATAAGTATCATATAAAATGCAACGTTCTGGATACTCCATTAAAAAGTGGGAGTAACTATCCTTCTCTAACGAATTTTACTGTATAATTTGCTACCACTTTATTGAAACTATTCCAGAAAGCGGATCAGTTGGCATCCATGCAATCTGCCCGGAGTTTATAGAGGATATTTTTTTAATGTTTAATTTGGTAGCAAAAGTGTCACGATTGATTCCTGCTTTAGCAAAATTGTTTTAATATAATTTCAACTACCATTACATTTAAATAGTTGAAACATACTTATCTCAGAACTGCTGGTTACCTCTATGTGTTTTAAGTGATAATGGAAGAGAATTAAGTGACTATATCTACAATATCACTTCAATAAAATCATTTACTTCTATAATTACTTCAATAATTACTACTAAAAACCTGTTTTAATCAGTGTAAAAATTATTAGGTTCAAACAGAAAACACTTGTAAAAAATTTCTGAGAAATCTACAAAATATTTTAACTAATACAGAGATCCAGTTCTTCCGCAACACATTGAATTATTGCAGAAATGAAAGGCCCATATTCTTTCTGAAGGAATTTTTTATAAATATTTCTTTAAAAAAAATAACGATGAATTTATATTTAATTATAAGGAATAGCAATGTATTTTTTTAAATATGGTTACTAAAATTTTTATCAATTAATCGAAATGAGTGATAAAAAAATATTTTTCAGCTTATCTTCAGAAAAAAATCTAAATCCACTTACAAGATAACGTTTCCCCAAATATTTTTTTTAATGGTACTGTAAACACAATTATTTTGTTCCTTAAATTTATCTTGAAAAAACAAGACATTGTGTTCATCTTAATATGTAAATAAAAAAGATGTTTAAATTTTGATTTAATATAATGTTATGACTGTATTTTAGACCATACCAGAAGTAGAAGCCAACGCTAAAAATTTTTTAACTGGCTTAAACCACTTATGTTCAAAAAGTTTCATCATTCATCACTACAAAATATTGCATTCTCATCACAGTAGTACGTATTGGGTGAGACCAACGCCTCCTACAACTGAAAGCCACAACACGGTTTCTTATAGGTAGTCCGATAAGATCAATATGAAGGAAAACCAGTTTACGAAAGAGCCATTTAATAGAACTTCTAGTAAAAATAAGAAAGTGGTAGTAAATATATGTCTGAAAATTGTTTTAATTTTTAAATTTACATAATTTGTCTGTATTATTTACTTATCTACCACCACAGATTCAGTTCTCAAATATATATGATAAATTTCACTCAAGTACTATTAAAAATAGAATTTGGGTTCATGCGCACAACTAGTTCACTTTTAAAACAGTCTGCGCAGACTACTTATAAAACACCGTGTGGAAGCTTTCTAATGTAGGAGGTGATGGTGAGACAGGGTTGCCACGGGCGACTGAAAATGTAAAAAGTGGTGTATTAAAAAATTCAAAACTTTATTAAAAGAGATTAAAATTAGCAATATTCAATATAATTTTCAGTTTACTATAGAATGCGAAAGCACAGAATGCTTTGCAGAATTGTTTGATTTAAGAATAAAAATAGAATAAAATATACAGGTAAATAAAAAATGAATTGAGTTTCTACCAGTTTTTGCATTTTTTGCCTCTTGTTGTATCCCTTGTGAAAAGTATACTAAGGAATGAATCAAGCGACCAAAAATATAAAAAGTGGCAGAAGTTCAATTGATTTTTCTTTATTTTTTATCTCTTTACTTATTCAACCGTAACTACTACTACGATTTTTGTTTCAATTTGACGCATGAACGAATACCAGAGATGCCAACTGCTCCGGACACGCAAAAATAATTAAAAAAACGGTAAGTAACTGCAAATTAAATTTTACAAATGTTTGACTATTTTTGCTTGCTTAATGAAAGGTATAGCATGACATAGGTACTATAAAGTGGTGAATTATATAAGCCTACGAATTATTTAGAAATAGTGGTTAGTGGTGGATAAAAATCTACTAAATTGAATTTATTAAACCAAGAATCACAATTGCAATACTACCACTTCAAAATATATATTTGCTGTCCGGAGCAAGTTGGCATCTCTGGAATACGTATAACAGCACTTACAGAGAGGCCAACTTGCGACAGCAAATATATATTTTAAAGTGGTAGTTTATCAATTGTGATTCTTGGTTTATTAATTTCAATTTAGTTGATTTTTATCCACCACTATTTCTAAATAATTCGTAGGCTTATATAATTCACCCCTTTATATTTTCAAAATTTACTTAGTAGTTATTTAAAGTTTTTCTTTTTCTTTTTTTTATTTTGGTGCGTCCGGAGCAGTTGGCATCTCTGCACTTAGGAAGTATTGTAATTATATACTATAAGAAAAAAAATGAAAATATGAGATAGATATTTATGAAATATTCTAGTATTTTATTTTTTAATTCTCGAACTAAGCAACTGAAACCTTCAAAATCTGACACTCTGACATCAATTAAAATTCTACATTTATTCTTTCGATTATTGCTTATCGGCAACAGTTGTTTATCGCTTGTTTTATTTGAGATAACGATACCGGATAACGGATCGAAGTATTGTCGGCACATTCCTATTTATTATAGATACGATGTTTGTATGTTTACTAAAAATTTTGTCGAAATTACGATCGCGTCAAATTGACGCATATCCGTAGATATAGGTATACCACAAAGAGAATTTCAATATTTCAACGCTTTTGAAGAAAATAGACTTCAATATATATTTACCTCGATCAATTGATAAAAGTCATTACAAGAGATAAAATAAAACTTCAAACGAGTTTTGTTCTTTTCCTTACAAAACTCGAAATGAGTCAAAATGACGCGTCCCGTAAATCTAGTTAAAAGTGAACCGAAAAAAATTTTTTCGATAAAAAAGCTAATTTTAATACTATTTTTAACTCTATTAAGCCGCACCGTTATCTTTTTAATCGCCCTTGCAATCCTGTATATTCTGCTACAACTAAGGATTTTTCCGAAATTTCAGAAAATACTGTATTTTGGTAATAAATGTAATGTACTAATTTAATAATATATTGTAATTAAAGGAATTTGGCCTTGGACTATACATAAATAATTTAAACAAACATACATATGGTCAAATATACAAACAGCCATATTCTGATAAAAGTTTGCTGTATACTTTCAACTTTT